GGCAGGATTCCTAAGAACCCTTATGACAGTACAGCTTACACATTCCAGGGTGAAGCAGCCCATTTATATGGTAAATGCGTTGGCCCTCCCATCAGGCGATGCTGAATTAGTTTGCCTTCCTTAGGCCACCTGTTCCTGCTCTCAAATGAGAACTCCAGAAATTTAGCAGCAGTTGCTTTTGGTCTTGATTTTAAGAGCTGTTTGTAGTCTTCAGAAATGAATACAGCATCATCTTCTAAATTGGTTCCTGCTAAACTTAACTGTCTTCATACTGAATACTGCTTTGTCCAAATTTTAGGGCTTGGTTTTCTAGGATCTTTCGAAGGATTTACATTTTGTAAGATTTTTGTAAAGTGAAACAGATGTTCTTCACTGTCTATCCCCCTCTTATGCTATGGTATCAAATCCTTCTTTTCATTTCTTAAATTGATTTTCTGTGGACTGTTTTGAGGGAACTTCACATTTTTAACCACTAGGCTCATCCTGGGCTTTCCAGGTAGCTCGGCGTTAAAGAATCTATCTGCCAATGCAGGAGACGCAGCGGTAGGTGGGGAAGCTAGATCCCTGGGTTGGGAAGATCCCCTGAAAGAGAACATGGCAACCCGCTCCAGTATTCTTGTCTGAAAAATCCTACGGACAGAGGATGGGCTACAGTCCATGGGGTTGCAAAGGGTCAGACACAACTGAGTGACTGAGTATGCAGGTTTATCCGAGGCTTGTGCATGTACTGTATGCATATCTGTGCTTTATAAATAAAAAGAGCAAGATTCCCTCTTCCCTCGTGGTTGGGGGGCATAGTCCTGTCAAGAATGCACCCCTTGGAGTCAAAGATTTGGTTATGGATCCTGCGCCCACCCTTATGGGAACAGTAAGATGCCTTGGTAAGCTCAGCATCTACAACTTCAACAGGAGGTGCTATTCACCTTGCAGGACCATAAAGGGGAGAGTGCTGGCATCTAATTAATGTTCTGTTCTGGAAATCCACTCTCTACTGCCTGCAGCCTAGATTCAGCCTTACCTTGCCCAAGCTTTCCAGCCTGCCCACCGCTCCCCCTTGCCTTTGTCCAGCCTGCATTTGCTTCCTTGTCCTCCCCTGCCGAACTCCTACCCCATGAAAGCCCAGCTCAGGCAGCGCTTCCCTTGGGATACTGTCCCGCTGCCGCTCTAACCACCGTCCCACCGCGGACCTCACGGCCTCCAGTACAGCGCTGCCCACTCACGCTGCTCATGTAGTGCTGAGGCCTGTGTGACTCTTTACCCTTGGCCGTTAACACAGGCCTGGGCGCTTGCTGATGTAAAGGACCAGTGCCTCTGCTTACCAGAGAAACTTCAGAAAGATAAAAATTTCTGCCCAAGATTCAGCACTTTCACTGCCCTACCATGGCCTGGGTTCAACCCCTGGTCAAGGAACTTGAGATCCTGCAAGCTGCAGTCAAAAGCAAACAAAAAGAAAGAAAGAAATAATGCTAAAAGATCAAAATTTCAGGCTGGCCTCTTCCCCATAATAACTGTCCTGCAACTTATGCAAGGAGGCTTCGGGAAGAAAAGAAAAAAGGAACATTACAAACAAAAGGAATACCAAGAACTTGTACCAAAAAATTATACGACAGACACCGAAAGTGGACATGTGAACAAACAGTTCTCCATAAAATCAGTGACGGATGGTAAAGAGTTGATTGCTTTAGCACAGGCCTCCTGTGTGGGCTCAACCCAGTAAGCGTTTATGGAGGAAATAAATGAAAAATATTTCATTTACTGTGAGATGTGTCTGTGTACATTTCCAGGAACAAGGAGACGCTCTCTTACATAACCATGTAAAGTGATCAATTTCAGGAAATTTAACATGAACTCAATACTATTCTATGATTATCCAAACGGTGTCAACTGTCCCAGTGTCTCTCCGGCTACTTTCCTCATCTTAAGGGTTGCCCAAGGGTTAGGCATGATAACCCTTGGTTATCATTTCTTGTTAGTCTTTAAACATTTCCTCGGTTTCTTTTTTCTTTCATGACATCAACATTTTGAAGACTTCAGGCCAGTTATTTTGCATAATACCGCTTGGTGTGCCTTTTATGTTTCCTCAAGATGAGATTTATTCTGAAATCTGGAAGGGTAGACTGTCTCTCACAGTACGTGAATGGAACTTAATCACCAACACTCTCCAATTTTTTTTTTCCTTTAATTTTTTCAGTCTAGTCAAGAGCTGTGTCAATTGTACAACTTTTTCACTGAACAGCCCTGGGTAAGATGGGATTTTCCAAGTACACAGTAACTTTCTTTGACTTGCTGCATCATAGCGTGTGATGACATTGCAAGAGCTCCTTATTCAAAATGAACTACATGACATTGGCACATGGTGTTGCCAACACAAATAATTCCATTGCATTCAGGTTCCTTTGTCACAAATATTCCACAATATGTACATACAGGATAAATGTTCTCCATTCAAAAAAGTGAAATACTTCTTTCACTAAGAAACCATTGCATATATAATTTTTAATATAAGAATTTACCCATGCTAATACACAGGATTTTAAATGTCTCATCATATTCTGTCAAGTAGAATGTGACCTAATTTACTTCTTCTGTTCTATCGTTGGACATGTAGATTATTAGTAATTCAGGATGTCTCATTTTCACTGAAAAATTTTTGTATTAAAAACATTCCATTGCCTTTTTAGGTAAAGGTTTTAGAAATTACAGGATAAAGGACTTGAACATGCTAATGGCTATTGATATATATCGGTAAAAGGTTATGCCCATTTTGACTTCACCAGCGATGGATGAGAGTGCCTTTTGCAATCTACCCTTGTCAACACTGAGGAGAATACGGGAAAACAAACATTAATAAGAAAAAAAGCTACTTGAAGTATAAATGTCTATTCCCTTGCTTTCTACTGAGGTTGAACATTTCCGCATATAATTTGTTAACCTGCAAATGTCCTCATCTCATAGTGATAATTTTTTAATATCTTATCTCCTGTAGGGATATTGCAAACCCATTGGGATATCTCTAAAACATACTGTGGAGTTTATACTAAAAGGGCAGCACGCTGATTTATGAATCATGTGGATTGTGTGAACATCAAACATTAAGTGATCAGATAGAAGTAAAGGGTATTCGACAGAAGGTGAAAAGAAATGAAGGCTTAAGTTGTCTCAGAAAAACCAAAGCCAATGCCACACGGGTAATAAGGACATATGTTTTGATTTCAGTTCCAACAGTAATTTTTCTCTCTCATTCCCTGAAAACAATCTCCCCAGCTGGTCTGCATTAAAGGTAATAGCACAAAACAACAAAAATCAGAGAGAGCATTTTTTATAATGAAGCAAAGAACTAAGAGGTCAACTTGTTTCCAAGGAAAGTAGGATCTAATCTCATTAGATTCTTGAATCAATTTGACACCAAATGATAATGGCTGTCCTGTGCGTCTAGGCTCACTCAGAAAGTTTGGTTTCCCTGCAAAGGATCTTAAATGCAACCATTATATATCCTTATTTATAATGTTTGACTGCATCTCTGCAATAAATAGTCAAGAAGAGAAATTTATATATAATTAGAAAATGACAAAGAGAATGATTCCATAGTATCCTATTAGCTATATAACTTCTAAAATAAGTAAGCCATCATTCATTATTATTAATCTCCCAAAGCTAAACATTTTAAACTAACCTACATTTTGAGTCACACCTGTAGAACCACACCATAGACAGGCCTGGGTGCTTGATACGGTCATTCACTTCTGATGTAGTCGGTTAATATTACCGCACGAAGGTATACTCTCAATTCCTAGCGCCTTAATTTTCTGAGAACAGGACTTTTTACTGTTAGACTTATTCATGGCTCCGTAGTATCTCAAGAACCACATGCCTATGGTAGCTACTGGATAAACAGCTAGAAATTAAACCAATGCACCCAAAATGGGATTAATTTACACAGGAAAGAAAAAGCATGTCATGGGCAGTGGGGAGTAAACTATGGGTCTAAAAAGTGGTCATCACAGCTTCACAGAGCTGTTATCCACTGTTTTATTGGGATTTACATAATATACATACAGGTGTTCTTCACGTAATTTGACATATACAGTGTTTTAAAATCTAATTGCTTGATTATGAATATGCTGAAAGAATATCCCAGTAATACCCTAAGTAAATAATTTCTAAACCAAGAGGTGAATTTCAGATTGCATGAGAGGCAGAGAAGCTGATGATCAAAGTGGATGCAGCACAAAGTGACCCCAAATACCATCTCTCAGTAAAACACTGGTTTTTGCCAGGTATTTAAAGCCTAAACAGTCCATTGTAAATTGACTGTTTTTGTTTCAAGAAACTGGGCAGGTTTTAAAAATTGTTATTTACCTGCAATTTTTCACATTTGATTCAAGTCAAAATATTCCTAAATGTTTCCCATGATGAGTTTGGCAGTGCATCCTGTATCAGGCTGCGGGGTTATACAGCTTGTTACTACTGACACATAAATAAACTCTTCTAGGGCAACCTTCAAAATGTAAAAGACTGTCAGCCCACAGGCCATATGCACCTGAGGCACTCTGACTTCTCTACCAAATTGAGCCTTAGAAGAATTTCAAGAAGCGAAATCTTCCCCATGAATCTTGGACTTCTTTCCTGGACTGGTTCCAATGATGGACTTGAATAATATGGAAAAACAGGAAATGAGCTCAACTTTTCCATCTTTTTTGATTTTGGACAATATTAATCCCAAGACTCCTGGAGATATCCCCACAACAAAGACATCATTATGAGATTAATCCAGCAAAATTCCCAACTTCTCCCGAACATCATCTTCCTTCATGCTCTGATTAAACAAGTTTGGGTGTGTTCTATCTGCATTAGACACACCAAATGTAGAAAACTCCTCAGTAACCCTCCCTTTTCTTAAGAAATAATGCTGACCCACCAACCACTGGTGGCCCCACTCGGTTGAAGGAAGATGGTGTCACTGGTGAGCTGAGACCCTAAGGGTGCAGTCGGCCACTCACCTTGCCTGCTGGCAGACACAGCAGATCCACACCTTCTCGTGCTTCTGGTAGGAGCAGCAACTCTTGCAGACGTTGAACTTACAGTCCCCACACCGGCGCTTGGTGTTGACAAGGAAGGTGAAGGGCGAGCAGCAGCGCATACAGCAGTGATCCACGAACTTCTGGTGCTTGGAGAGGATGCTGCACTTGCTGCCTTCCTCATCCAGCTTCTGCTTCATCTCACTGGGAGCCGGAGGGTGGTGGGGGGAGAGGGTGAGGAGAAGAGAAACAGCACATCAGCTCAGGGGGCTCCCTCCCTGAAGCGCCCCACCCTGGTCCCCCTGTCTGCCAAGCTACCAGGTAGGATCTTCCTGTAAAACAATACAACTCAGGAAGTCCAATGGCTTGACATACTATCCAGAGAGGAACCCTAATGGTGGATTAATTGTGTGTTCTTCCATATGTCATATCTTCTATAAGAAAGCACAAAACCTTACTACTTATATTTCAGACACCAGATTGAAATATAAGTTATTATAAAACTAAGCACATTAAAAAAGAACGCTTTAGCTTAATTAATGCCGTTTTAAAGGAGCAGAAGATCATTTATGTTAAAACATTAATCCTCACAACAGCCCTGCTGGGAATATGATAAATGCAATCCTGGCCCTCAATATCCCTGGAAACAAGCACGGAGGATTTTAAAAGCTTTCAAATCAATGTAAGTCAATAAAGATTCTCTGGATGATGGGCTAATCCTAAACACTGGTGACTCGAGAGCTGGATAAAAGTTAACTCCCCTTTTCCAAAGAGCTCATGGGTATTCTGGGCACACAATTGGTCATATTTATGCAAAACTGCATGCACTGTTTTCTCTATACTCTTGAGAAGCAAGGGAGAAACCCTGAGAGATAAGGAATCCCCCAAACACACTGAGATACCCAGGATAAAACTGACCGGAAGTAAGTAAGTTATTCTGACTTGAAAGGTTTTGAATTTGTTTTTTTTTCTGTTCAAAGATGGACACCCACAAGCAGGAACAGAAAATAATTATATTTTTCCATATCCATTTTATGATCACACAGTTCATCCCAGATGAATCTATGATGTATGTGCATCATGCTAAGTCACTTCAGGCATGTCTGACTCTTTTGCAACCCCACAGACTATAGCCCTCCAGGCTCCTCTGTCCATGGGATTCTCCAGGCAAGAATACTGGAGTGGGTTGCCATTCCCTCCTCCAGGGGATCTTCCTGACCAAGGGATCAAACCCACGTCTCTTACATCTCCTGGATTGGCAGGCACTTTCTCTGTTACTAGCGCCTGCTGAAATATGATGTGATGTATGTAGCAAATATTTTCCTTCATTTTGCAATTGTTTTTTCAACTTTTCATATGGTACGTCTCATCATTTAGAAGTGTTTAATTTTTCTGTAGTTAAATCTGTCAGTCTTTTCTTCTATGGCTTCTAAATTTTACATCTTGCTTATTATTTCTCCCACCCTCTACCAAGCACTTATCTACTTTCTATTTCTACAAATTTGCCTGTTCTGGCTATTTAATATAAATGGAATCATACCATATGTGTTCAAAGTTCATCCATGCTATAGTGTGTATCAGAATTTCATTCCTTTTTTTACTGTCAAGTAATATTCTATTTACAGATATACCATATTTTACTTATCTATTCATCGACTAATAGACATTGGGGTTGTTTCTACTTTTTGGCTATTTTGAATAATGCTGCTATCAACATTCATGGGCAAGTTTTTGTGTGGACATATATTTTCAATCCCAGGAGTAGAATTACTGGGTCAAATGGTAATATTAAATGATTAAACTTTGAAGAAACTACCAGACAGTTTGGTAGTTTGGCTACTCCTCCTTACATCCTACTGGCAACCCATGAGGGTTCTGATTTTTCTGTATCCTCATCAACACTTGTTACTGTCTGCCTTTTTTATGACAGCCATCCTAGGAGGTTTGAAGTGGTATCTGATTGTACTTCTGATTTGTATTTCTCCAATGAGGAATAATATTAAGCATCTTTTCATGTACTTACTGGCCACTTGCACATATTCTTTGGAGAAAAGTCTATTCAAATCTTTCACCCATTTTAAAATTAGAATATTTGTCTTTTTCATTGCTGTGTTATAAGAGTTCTTTATATATCCTGGATACAAGTACAATATCAGATATATGATTTGAAAGTATTTTCCCTTTATTATATTAAACTGTAGATTTCATTAGGATTTTCAGGTGTTCTTAGTACAAAGAAAGGCTGTGCTAGCTCATCGCAGCCTGCTACTAGAATTGGAAATCTACGTATGGTTTTATACTCTAATTTTTCACTTAACAACAAAACACTGTAAACATCTTTCCATGAAAATTCAAAGAGTATTTACAGCTTTAGCTTTCAGGTGCCCTGGGCCAGCTTACACAGCTGCCAATACATGCACAGGCTTACTACTCTGCATTGCAGTGTCCAATACTCATTTGTAGCTTGAGCATTTGGAAGGGGAGAGAGACTATATCAGGCCTGGTGATAATTCTACAGGGTAAAACATTATATATGTATACTTGGCTGAATGTGGGCTTCCCAGGTGGCTCAGTGGTAAAGAATTCGGCTGCCAATGCAGGAGATGCAGGAGACCTCGGTTCAAGCCGAGTTGGAAAGATCTCCTGGAGGAGGGCATGGCAACCCAGTTCAATAGTCTTGCCTGGAAAATCCCAAGGACGGTGGAGCCTGGTGGGCTACAGTCCATGGGGTCATAAAAGAGTCGGATACAACTGAAGTGACTTAGTGCACAGTGTTGGCTGAATAAAATATTTACAGGGAAATAGGACAGAAGGTTTTTCCTTAAGGCATGATGTTGTTGTTACCCAGTCCCTCAGATTTAAAACAGAAGATGAGCTAAGTTATCAACACTCTGACCTCTGTAAACAATATAAGAACAGCCTCAGCAACTGACTTTCTTCTACTGACATTCCAAAGACACTAAATTAAATGGGATAAAACATCCAGGAAAGAAAGTCTTTGGGGATCAAAAGGAAAAAACTCCGTGAACTCAATGCACAAGATCATTTGAGCTTTATGAGTTTTGTTTCCTGATACACAAAATGCCAATGGCATTTTTAAAAAATCACTGAGAGTCTAATAATAAAATATACCAACTCCTCCAAAGTTTGTCCCAAGCAAATCGAGGATTTTTAATCACAGACTTGGAGGAGGAAATAAGAATGCCTTTCTTCTGGATCATCTCTCCCTTCTCAGATTTTACTACTTTATAGGACCTCCTGGCAGAAGTCCTTAAAGAGAATTATATAGGATAAACTATAGTGACTGACTGCAGGGTCAACCAAGAGTCACACAAGACCGGTACCTGGCACCAAAATGTCCTGGGAGGGACCAGGCCCCCAAATGGTCAGCCATGCGGGAAAGAGCGATGGGTTTCGTCACAGGCGAGGGTGCATAGCTGAGCTGTTAGTACCAAAGACCCTTCCTACCTTTCTGAGCCTCTACCTTCCAGGCAGCAATAATAATTCCTACTTCACGGAGTTGCCAGATGTTTTAAATGAGCAAAGCGGCAATAAGCAAATAGTGCTTATTCATTTGGATTGGCAAGAAATCCAGGAGTCTCACTGCACATAAAATCTGATCACACTTGTTTCTATGTGAAGAAGGCTTTGTGATAGTATCTGGGCAGGAAGGCTCAATATGTATTTGTTGCTTGAGCACTGAGTGTGGGTGTGAAGTAGTATCTTAACTGTGGTTTCGGGTTTTTATGTTTGTTTTACTTTTTAGCATGTGAGATCTTAGTTCCCCAACTAGGAATCAAACCCGCACCCCCTGCAGTGAAAACGTGGAGTCTTAACCACAGGACTGCCAGGGAAGACCCTAGCCTCTTCTTGATACATCACTCTGTGATGGATATATGAAAAGCTATCAACATTTCACGGTTTCTGGGTCCACTGCCATGCCAATTCTGATTCTCACCACATGCTGAGACTGCATGCAGGCTCAGTGGGGCTAGAGTGCCATAACTTAGCAGCATCTGCCATGGGCATAGCAGGGAGAAGTGATGGCCTATATGTCACTTGTTTGCTATCAAAAAGACAGTAATTCTAGCCCATAGCTATAAGTCTCCATGTTACAGGCACTATTATCTAGATTGCCAACTATTCACTCAGTTCACACTCACTGAGTAGCTATAGTACTATTCTAGCATGTGTGCATGCCAAGTCGCTTCAGTTGCTTCCAACTCTTTATGACCCTGTGGACTGTAGTCCGCCAGGCTCCTCTGTCCATGGGATTCTCCAGGTGAGAATACTGGAGTGGGTTGCCATGCCCTTATCCAGGGGATCTTCCCGACCCAGGGATTGGACCTGCATCTCCTGTGAATCCTACGTTGCAGGCAGATTCTTTATGGTGCAGTCACCGGGTACGCCCATAATACTATTCTAGGCACTAGGGATAAGAAGACATAGGTCCCTCCCTTTCATGAAACATGTATTAAAGTAGGGGTTCAAATGATTAAAAACTAAAGAAAATATAAAACAATTATAAGTTGTAAGACATTCAATAACAGAATAGGCAGGACACAGACTGAGGATGACATGGCAACCTACTTTAGACTGGGTGCTGACAGAAATCCTCTCTGGGGAGGTGACATTTTAGTTGAGGCTACAGGTTGAGAAAGCGCTAAGCCAAGAGAAAAAAAAACAGCAGAGGAAAAGAGCTTAACGTTGGAGAAAGGGGAGAGAAGATAAGACACAGGCCCTGGAAAAGTGTCTGGATTTTATCCTACGTGCAGTGGGAGGTCAATGAGGCTGGTGAACAGGAACAGAGCAGGATCCACTCTTCATTGTAATAGCACCTGCTGTTACCTTAAGGTGGACTTCTCGACAGCCAAGCGAGGAAGCTTGGAGGGCAGTGCAGTGATCTAGGTAGACGGGTGAGGTCTGGGCCGGGATAGGAGACAGAGAGGGTCGGACAGACGCATGGCACACCTGCTCAAGGATCTGATACAGAGGTGGAGGGAGAGAATGAACCAAGAACCAGTCTCAGGGTTCCAGCTTTTGCAGCAAGTGAAGCCATTTATGGATCAAGGGGAGATGACGATGATGGAAGCATGTTTAAGTGAAAACTGTGAGGCATTTAAAGGGGTTTGCCACGTGGACAACTGATAGGTATTTGTGCATCTCAGAGGATGGATCTGGGCCAGCTGTGTAAGTTTGGGAAT